GTGTCAGTAAAATTGTAAGAGATTATAAAATTAAAATAAAAACTTTTAAAACTTAAATATATTTTCTTTTCTCATTTAAGTCCTCCATATGTAAAGAGCATTTTGCCGAAAGTGAGCTTCTTGAAACCTTTAGAATGACACTGTTCGTGTTCTGAATAGAGAATGAATTTTTATGTATGCTGTTTAGGCTTTCTGAGCTTTTTTTGGTTTTATATGCTTCTATGTATAGTATATAAATGTTTACGTATTCTGAACAGATTGAAAATCATGTCAACATAAACAGTGGATTTAGCTAAATACAAGCCTAAATTGGTTTCCAGGTGATGCATAGTCAGTGAATAGATCGAATGGTTATAAAAAGAGGAGTTTCAAGGTTGTTCGTTCCGTATGCTATTGGTCAAAAATTTTCATTCTGAACTGTTGTTAATTCACAAGAGAAGAGCACTAGAGTAGTACGTGTGAAGTGGTAATAGGAAACAAAATATTTTATGCAACGGTAGCATAAATATGGTTATACACTGAATCTCTATTTTGTTTCTATCTGTGTGTGTTTAAGATACTGGTTCTCAGAATATTTTGAAAATATCCTTCGGTCAATACAAAGAAGTAATCATCATGAATCGAATGAGGCAAACGATGAGCAGCTCTGCTCTGAATGGCGACAGCAGCAATTCGACCGACATGTCTATAAGCAATTTCGTGTCAAAGTCATCTCGCAGCACAAAACGCAAGGGTGACTCATTGTCCGGCTTATCAAAAAAGGGAAAAGGGTATGCAAGACTTGCTTATTTGCATTTTACAGGCTTTGAACCTTAAACGTTTTGCAGCGAAAGCTCGTTTTCCAAGCTCGCCGTTTTTGGATATCCCGTAGAACATCCTTTCAACAAAGATGGTTATCGTTACTTTCTAGCAGAACCGGATCCACATGCCCCGTTCAAGTATATTTTAGAACAGTGCTTAACATGTATAAATTCCAAACAGTCTCATAAATAATGAACTACATCAACTGGAAAGTCGTATATATGACCCTCATCAAAACTGGATAAACTCATGAACAAAATTAACATACTGGCAATAACTCTACCTGTCGACCAGCTCTGGTAAACAGCTGTTAAGTTTATTTAATATTCCCATTTCTGTTTACTTTTCTACTCTAAAAGCTAAACAGTTTTACGCAGTTCGCACAAAAATGGATAAAAGAAGTAAAAGCAGATATGTACTTAAGCAGTGTGTAGATGTACTAAGGTTTGCTCAATCAGCAGAGCATCGGACTCGTATGCGAGGGGTTCCTGGTTAGTACCATAGTCGGGTTTACTTGTTTTTCTTTCGAGATTCATAAATGTGGAAGGGAAGTCGGAGACTACAGACTGTTTTTTCTGTACCTACTTTGAAAGGTACTCGTGGCTCATGGCACGGAAATGGAAATCAGCGCCCCACCGTTTACTTCCTGAATAGAAAGGCATCAGAAATGGCCCCATAATGAAAGTATAAGGGAGACAGATATTAAAATGATTACAAACTTTAAATTTTTAAGCAGCTCGTGCATTTTCAGATCTAGAATAGTTAGGAAAATAGAACTAAACGATCTTCAGCAGCAACTGCACTGACAAATGTACGCAGGAATCTTCAACGCCACTAATTTCTGGTAAGCTTCGGTTATTGTTGGAATGAGAAAGTAACGACACCGTGGTTCCATTCTTCTTGATCGACAGCGTATGACATATCGCCTTCTTCAGGCATGAAACCAGCATTAAACTATACTCAAATATTGCGATAGTTACCATCTCAAGGTTGTTAATGCATGTCATCAGACATATCACGATAGATGGCTATAAATGCGTACCTGATCTTAGTTTCGGACACTGTTGTCAGATAGCAC